TTTATTTTATTTATTTTTTTATCCTCACCTGAGGCCATTTTTGCATTTATCTTCAGATAGAGTGATGAAGGAGAGGGAGACAGAAATTTAGCTAAGAACACCTTATTAAACAGCTCAGAAGGGAGAAAGTGATATACAGTCTAAGAGATAATGCAGACCCTCGAAAGAAAATTAAAAACAGACTGAGATGGTAAGGAAAAGGAACGAGAGAGGCACACTTTCAGTTAGATCTGAAAGGATGAAAATGATTTTTACAGGTGAGGGAGGGAGGGAGAGAGAGAAACATCGATGTGAGAGAGACATATGGAGTGGTTGCCACCCACACAACCCCAACCGGGGCCAGGGACAAACTGCAACCAAGGTATGTGTCCCCCAGTGGGAATCGAACCTGGGACTCTCTGGTCTGCAGGCTGACACTCTAACCACTGAGCAAACTGGTCAGGGCTCCTTCCTGATTTTAAAGGGAACGTTTTCAACATCACTGAGTATGATTGATGCAGGTGTTTGATAAATACCTTTACTCAGGTTAAAGAAGTTCCCCTCTATTCCTAGTTTGCTGGTAGTTTCTTTTTTCTTTTTTTTATTATCATGAATGAATGTTGAATTTTATCAAATGATTTTCCTATAATGATTGAGATATGTTCCTCTTTAATCTAATGATATTAATTTGCATTAATACATTTTTCTAATATTAAACCAAATAGTATTCTTGGGATACACAGAGCTTGACGAATTCAATTTACTAATTCCATTTAAAGAACGTCTGCTTATCTACTCATACATTCGACTGCTTCAATATTCCTTTCTTATACTGTCCTTGTCTAGTTTTGACATCAAGGTTGCTAGCCTTGTAAAAAAGTTAGAAAGTGTTGTTCTCTCTTTTTCTATTTTCTGAATGAGTTTGCAAAAGATTAGAACTATCTATTTCATGAATGACTGATAGAACTCTCTCATAAAAATGTCTAGACTTTGTGGAAATATTTCTGTAATAGTTGCAAGGCTATTAAGGTTTTCTACTTCTTCTTTGATCAGCTTTGATATGTTATAGTGTTCTAGAAATCTGTCCATCTTTTCTAGAGTTTAAAAATTATTGGCATACAACTGATTATAATATTCCCGCTATCTTGTTAATCTCTGCTGTAGTACAAAGTTATCTCCATTATCATCTGAAGCGTCTCTTCCCTCCTCCCCCTCTTAATTAGGAAGGTAGTTTGTCTACTGTAGTAGTCTTTTCAAAGAACCAACTTTTGGGCTGTTTCTCTCTTGGGTCTTTTTCCTTCTCGTTCATTTTTATTCTTATATATTTTTATTAATTATTTTGATTAGCTCCTTCTTCCTATTTTCTCTGAGCTTATTCTGTTGTACTTTTTGACTATTTAAGGTGTATGCTAAGCTCATCAATTTTCAGTCTTTTATTTCCCCTCTAATATAAGCGCCTAAGTCGTTTAAGAGAATTTTCCTCCCTGAGGACACTTGGTTTAAGCAACCATATCCCATATCAAGAGGAGTAGGCCCTAAGCCAACTCCTGACCTCCTCAACCTTCTCAACCATGACCCTTCTCAGGGTCATGGAGAGAAGCAAGGAGAAAGGGAGACCATTTGAAAGACTTAGCATTTTTCTAGAGAGTGTCAGTGTCATTTAACTGAAGGGAGTGTCTAAATCATTTAACCAAAGTATGCCTTAAATTGAATTGACCATTTAGGGTACTCCCCTTACCCTCACTAATCAGTTGGCTGGGCGTATAAAACACACAAACTGAGAGATAGATAGAGGCAATTTTTTTTTTTAAACCGCCTCCAGAGGAACCTCACTGTTCAAGCATTTATTCAATAAGTATTGTTGAGAGCCCAAAAACTTTAGTTCCAGTTGCTGTGTCAAGTGCTGGGGAATACAAACGGCCAACAAGACAGGACACAGAGATTGCCTTCACACATTTACAAACTCATGGGGAACAGAGACAAAGTCACAGGCAGCTCTCGGCACAATGACAAATGCGTCACATATACGTGTGGGGTGCAATGGGAGCACATGGTACAGGGGACCTGGCCTATCATTGGGGCTCAGGGAAGGCCTTTCCTGAGGAAGTGACATCAAGCAGAAGTGAGCCAGCTGAAGTGAAAGGAGGAAGGAGTGCCTCTGGAAGAGTTAGCCTTCTAAAGGCTTGGAGGCCTGTGAGGACACCCAGTGCATAAGGGCCTGGTAGAAATTCAGAATGGCTGGGTGTCCGGTGACAGATGGTAAGTAGTAAAAAAATCTAGAAAGGTAAGTAAAGGAAGTTGTCTGGATTTACCCTGAGAACCACGAGAAAACACTGTGGGGCCTAAGTGGTACCCTGGCGAGATTAATGTTTCCTACATTATAACACACTACAAATACATGTTCTTGTAGGAACGCTCAAGTCCTGTGTAAATTTCTTGCTCTTTGAAAACTTTATTTTGTGTTTTGTTTTTTTTCCTTTTGGGAAAAATAAGGAAGTAATCTATATGAATTCTGAGGCAAAGAACCTGTTTTCACTAATACCATACATTTTTCCAAGGGGAACTCAAGCACCTTGGGGTGACAAAAAAAGATTATCTGATAAATAAAATTGTGTTCAGCAAATACTAGTGAAGGGTACAAAAACAAACCTCTGATTAGAGAAGGTGACATTTTAGAAAAACAAGCCGAACGAATCCTGTCCCAGCGAAGCACCAGGACATGCTGCTTCTGGCCTCACTCAGCTGAACACCACCCCTATACGGTCCCCATCTGCAGTGGCCCTCTGCACAAAGCCCATTCTTCAGAAGCAAGTAGGATTTAGTCCCTTCTAGTAAGATCAGTATACTAGTAAGCACAAACTATTTAATATAAATAGAGTAATTAGCAAAGGTTTGGTAAATATTAATTAATGGTACTATAAAAGTATTTACTTTATAAATAACCTTTTACCCTTTTAGAAAAATGGGCAAATAGGAAGCCTAGATGTTTCTCAGGCATTTCAAATTTAATATATCTAGATCCAAACCCACTACCCTATCCAGAATGTGATAATAACTTAGATTCTTAAAAAAGATTGTAATAATCACACACACACTAAATTCAATGTAATAAATAAATAACAAAGAGGGGGTGGAGATAACATTCTATATTAAAAGATATATATATGTATATGTATATATGTGTGGGTGTATATATATGTGTGTGTGTGTGTGTATATATATATATATATAAAGAGGAGAAGAAAAAAGAAAGAATTCATGGACATGGACAACAGTGTGGTGATTGCAGGGGGTTGGGGTGGGTGGAGGTGGAGGAGAAGGAGGGATAAATAGCTAAGGAATAAAAAAAGATATGACACAATTTGAGGATAATTGGGGAAATTTTATTTTTGGACCAAATACTAGATATTAGTGTTAATTTTCCCAGGTGTGATACTCAGAGTTATAATGGAAATGTTGGGGAATACCCTTAATTTTAGGAGATACACAGGTATGTTTAAGGGTACAGTGCCGAGCTATCTGAAACTTACTTTCCAATGTTTAAGAACAGGGTGGGAAGCAAACAGGGTAAAATGTTAACAAGTGGTACGTCTGGGTAAAGGGTGTACAGGTGTTCATTATACTAATCTTTGTAATTCTGTGTAGACTTGAAATTTTTCAAAAAGAAATAAAACCAAGCAAACAACAAAAACAATACACTGAGCTCTTTCATGTAGAGAAACACTAAGCCAGTGGGCCTCACCAAAGCTGCTAAACAGGTCGAAGAAAGAGATCAGATCAAATGTGGGTAGGTGTAAGGTAACAGTTTTACTCCTAGAATGAGGGTTTGGAGATGTACTTCTGAGGAAAAGGCAGTTCATGTCCTTCCCAGACTTGGGAGACTGGCATCCTCCATGCCTTAAAGAGCCCAGTCCAGTGGGGCTTCCTGAGGCAGGGAATTCTAAACAGAGAAAATAGCACCACGACTGTTCTAAAATCTTCAGTGATGACCAGCAGCACTGCTGCTTCGTCTTCCTACACGAGTCCCTCCCTGTCCTAGGATCTCCTCTCTCACCTTCCACTGCAGTCTTCTTGGCTAACCATATTTGTTCTCTTGCCCTCTGCTGTCACCCGCATGCTGAAGAATTTGCCAAATGGTAGTCACCACCTCTTACTGTGGAGCTCTGGGCCCAGGAGTCCAGTCTCCTCAGCACTGTGTCCTAGGAGGCACCCCACAGCCTCATATCACTCCTGAACTTGACATCTCCCTTCCCTGAATCCTCTCCTTCCCCCTCCTCTCCGTGAATTCCTATGGTCCTACAATGTGGGTTCTTTAGAGGGCTATAAAAAGTCTTGCTTCCTTTCCTCAGTATTGTTACTATCATCATTCCAAAAGAAGATAAGGGCTGAGTAAATAAATAACTCCACACCAATACCAATATATCTGGCTTCCTAAAATCCACCAAGTCTCTACACAAAGGGCTGAGAAGGAGTTGGAGTGTCACCCACCTCAACCGTCCTCTTTGCGAATCACTCTACGGTGGCCAAGGCACATGTCTCAGGTGACCGGCAGCCCGCCCACCATCTTGCCCAGTCCTTCTCTGGAAAGATTAGAAAACTTTTCCTTATACTGACCCCAAACTTACTCCTCATGACTTCTGCCTGTTGTTGTTTTTTTCAAGCCTCGATCAAATGAACTTCCTCTTCCTCCCACAGCTGCACGTGAAAGCACCAGGTTGCCCCACTCTATCCCCTCCACACAGGAGGCCTCATGGCAGCAGCCGCCCCAGACCAGTTTGGGGAACTGGTGAGCTTGAGGAAGTTTATGAGCTCTTATAGGCTGTGGTCTACATGAGCTCAGTCCACCTGGTGGAAACATCACATCGAGGAGCACAAAATCTGCACGACACTGGGTCAGTGCAGCTGGGAGGGTTCCACCTGGGTAAGCACCTTCTGTTAATGGCATTTATTTAATGAGAGTAAAGAGAAAGAGCGATGAATTATGAAGGTGGCTCAGGGTATAAAATAATATAAATGCTTACCTCCCCTTGGAAGCTCTTCAGCAGTGGTGCTACCTGCTTGCGCAAATCCTGGAGCAAGAGGGACGGGTCAGGAAACAGCCATTTGAGAAGGAAAGAGAAGGGGAACATTCGTTAAGATCTCCTAAAAACAGCTTTGAATTCAGTGACGGTTATCATTATATAAAGCAATCCTGGTTCCTCTCCTGCTCTGTTCTGAGTCATACAACATAATGCCAACTGGCGCCCGCCCCATAGGTTCCGTGAACTTATTTAAGAATACCACTAGATTTATTTCTACTAAATCCTGGCTAAGCACACCTCATTTCGAATGTGCTATGGACTCAAGTTTTTGCTGATAACAGTTTGAAATAATTTATTTACAACAAAATAGGGGATTACACAATGCAGGTTTGACTTATTTGTATCTGAAATTGGGTTTGGGCCACTGTCATGCATTTCAGTTGTTACTTTTGAGCACTGTTGATGGGAGATACACCTGTTTTGAATCCATGTTTGATAGAGTCACTGGGAATTTTATCCCAAGCCCCCATTATATCCTTGGAGAAGTCAGTATTTTTGTTCCTCTTTTGAACCATTTTCTGTATTTTTATACCTAATTCAATGACAAAAAAATGATCAAACTCTTTACCAGCCTCTTCTTAAACAAATAAGGCTCTCTGGGGTAGGCACAATAATGGTCCCCAAAGATGTCCACATCCTGATCCTCAGAATCTGTGACTGTATTAGGTTACATGGTAAAAGGGTCATTGCAGATGTGATTAAATTAGGAATGGAGTTGGGAGGATTAACCTGAATGATCTAAGCAGGTCCAGGTCCTTATAAGAGGGAGGCAGGAAGGTGAGGGCAAGAGAGGATATGACATGGAAGAAGGGGGTGAAAATGATGTAGGGGCAGAAGCCAAGGCACACAGGAGGCCCTGAGAAGCTGGAAAAGGCAAAAAACAAAACAAACAAACAAACAAACAAACAAACAAACGATTCTCCCCTGGTGCTTCTATAAGGTACACAACTCTGCCAACACCTCCTCTCAGCCCAGTAAAACCCATTCTGGACTCTGACCTCCAGCATGGTCAGATGATAAACTTTTGTTGTTTTGAGTCACCTAGTCCATGCTAGTTTGTTATAGCAGCAATAGAAAACAAACACAATTATTTCATTTAGTGAACTGTACTTATCAGAAAGACAGAGGATACAATGTACACTGAAAAAGAAAGTGAAGGAAAAGAGGATGAAAGGGAGAAGGATCATGGAAGAGATATCGCGGTTTGATTCCAGGCAGGGTGAGTGGTAAAACCTATGTTTTAATCGCAAGGAATAAACCATGCTTCTTTGTCAGAAACTTGGCAACTACAGGTAATGAGGAGGGAAGTCTAAACATGAGCAGTTCAATGTGTACTAGCGGTAGGGGGGTGACATGGCCTGTACTCTGCAGAGGGGAAGATGAAGGCAGAAAGAGCCCTTGGGACTCTGGGGTGGGTGGGTGGGTTGTTACCATTCCCTCCAACTCACTTTCCTGGGGAAGGACAAACAGGCAGGATGGTCACACTGAGCTACTTGATCAAACTGCAAACACAAGATGATAGATGGAGTTTGTTTTCCAAAACGACTGACTTTGATGAAGACAATCTGTTAAAGAGGTGTGGTTGTATTCTCCAGTGTTCTCTCTAACCAGTGGGCTGCTAGAGTGTGGATCCAAGTGGGTACAGAAGAGCTAATACACTTCATGAAGCTGGTGCCCATATGGTGTCTGTGGCATGCAAGCCCAGCTTGCACAGACATGCGGTGAATCTTCCTCTAAAAGGCCACAAACCCATATTAATCTAATTTTAAAAAATAAGATGTGAACAGTTCAAGGACAATAATCTCAATGTGATGCTTGCCTTCCAACTGCCAGTGGGAAGCATAGTCCCTTCTGCAGGCCTAGGCTTTGGGGACAGCCCTTCACTTTTCAGAGAGCTATGGCCAAGCCCCACTGCATCCACAGGTAGTGTGGGAGCCCTGGGGGCGGCTGTGGGCCTGCCTTGTATCTGACAGCTGGTAGCACCCAATGGCTCTTGAGAGGGGGCCCCTATAGCTTCCACCATGCCTGCACTGGATACCAGAGAACTGGAAGCAACCAGGCCCAGCGTCAAGGGCTCTCCTTCCTATTTCTTCTCACTAAGTCTATAAAGGCAGCTGTGGTCAGTTGGGAGAGCATCCTCTTCCCATCTAAACTGGGGGCTGCTTAAGGGCATGGAATGGGTGTTAGTTTCCCCAACTCATCTCCAGCATCCAACGCAGGGCTGGACAATATTTTGCTGAGGAAACCTAGGCACAAGAGTCCTCAAAACTCCAGAAAGTTGGATAATGGAAGCTGGTTACATCTCATGCCAGGTCTGACGTTCCTTGTTCTGGAGGGGCCAGTCCTATCTCACTATGGTCCACTCTCCATATTGTACAGCAGGGGGGGCTACAGGTGTGGGCCCTGGTTGGGGCACACACAAGGCTTCCCTGCAGCCCGTGGACTAGTCAGCAGAAAGACTGACTTGAGTACCAACAGGGAATTGCTACTGAGAGAGTGAATGTGGCCTTGGAATGCACTTATAAGAGCGTTAATCTCTGTCTCCTCCGTACCTGAAATGGGCCTGGTACACAGGGGGGACTCAAAAGACTGGAAATGGGTGCGTGAGTATATACACGAAAGAACAATCTCTCAAAGTGTGTCAGTAACTGGGCAAGTGAGAGAGCGCCTGCCTCAAGGCTGGCTCCTATTCCAAGCCAGCACTGTCCAGCAAACATGAAGTGCCAACCACCTACATAACTTAAAATTTTCTCAAGCTATATTAAAAAAGCAAAAAACAAAACAAATGAAATTAAATTTTCATTTAACCCAATATATCCATAATATTATCATTCCCCATATATTCAAGAGAAAAATTACTAATGAGATAGTTTACATTCTTTTTCTGGTTATTAGGTCTTTGAAATCTGGTGTGTATTTTACACTTCAGCACATCTCTCTTTGGACTAGACACACGTCACCTTCCCCCACACACCCCAGCTGTGCTTGGTGACAGTCACATTTGCAGCTGGGGACAAAGAGATGGCTTCTCAAGTCAGGGCTCACCTGGAAGTCCCCTCTCAGATGGTCTGAGGGGAAAGAACAACAATCAAGAGAAGTAGGAGAGCAGCTGAGAGAACAGAAGGTTAAGAGGAGGCAGTTTCAAGAGGGAAAAGGTGTTAATATTTGCTGCTGCCACAGAGACTGGAGAAAACTACTGAATTTAGCAGCAGGGAGTTCGGTGGCCTGAGAACACCCTGAGTAGCGTTGTGGTTGGTTGGAAATCAACCTGTGAGGGGCTGAGGGTGATGAGCTTCTGAGGAAGAGGCTACAGTAAGTGTAAGGAAAGGGAAGGTAGAGAGAGTTGCGGAGTGCCATGTGGAAGAGGGTCTCAGGCCCAAGTTAAGAATACAGCAGTCAGCAGTCCCCCTTACCTGTGGCAGATACATTCCAAGACTCCCAGTGGATGCCCGAAACTACGATAGTTCTGAATTCTAATACATACTGTGTTTTCTTATACATACATACATAACTTTTCACTTAAAAGAAAGCACCTTATAGCTTCTCTTTGGCATATATGAATGGCCAGCATCACTACTCTTGTGCTTTGGGGCCATTTTTAAGTAAAATAAGGGTTACTTGAAAACCAGCACTGTGATACCAAGATAGATGATCTGATAACTGAGAAGGCTACTAAGTAAGTGACTAATGGGCGAGTAGTGTATACAGTGTAGAGACGAGATGCTGGACAAAGGGATGATTCACATCCCAGGCAGTACAGAGCAGGATGGCACGAGATTTCATCACACTACTCAGAAAAGTGAACAATTTCAAACTTATGAATTATTTCTGGAGTTTTCCATTTAATATTTTTGGACCAAGGTTGACTGTGGGTAACTGAAACCTCAGTGAACAAAACCGTGGGTAAGGGAGAACTGCTGTAGTTATCATTTAGTGAGTGTCTGCCATGTGCTGAGCTGCAGCAGGGCTTCAGGTATACTAAATTCATGTGCTCTTCACAACAGCCAATGTAAAGGATTGATACCTACATTTTATAGATAAGCACACCTGAGGCTCAGTAAGGGAAGGATATCTGTTCAAGGTCACAAGATTTTGTAAAGAAACCAATTACTTTGGCTAGGTGTGGGAGCAGGCATGACATACAGGGGCCACCTGGACAGCAACTGGGGGGTGTGTTGGGGGTGGGAGAGGACAGCACACATATCACTCAAAAGGCTTACAACAGACCCAAACTCAGAGGGGAAATGGCAAAGGTGGACAGGTGATGGAATGTGAAAGGTGGTGGGGCCAAGGCGAGGCATTTGAGACCAGTGTGGAGAATAGAAGAGGAGGGAAAGCATGAGTGGGAGATGCCTGGGTGCAAGTATAAGACCCAGTTGCCCTGGAGTTCAGCCCACAAAACAGTGCCTCTTATCTTACTAGGCTCATCCCGCCAAGTGGCACAGGGCCAGCCTCCTGAGAACACCAGCTTTGACAAGTATAGGAGATGACAAAAGTACTTTCGATTACAACATCTAGGAAGGCAGAAGAGCCACACCTCTCATAATGATTGTAAATAAACTCACCTTTGCTGTCCCTGTTATAACCAGCCCACAAAACATTTTACAAGTCATTTCTTTGGGCATTTTCATGTTTCATGACATTCCTGCTAAAATAACCTTTTAAAGCTGGATGTGTGTCTCTGTACTCACACGCACATATATGGAGAAAAAAAAGCACTAAATATTCTTACACACACACACGCATGCACATACTGATATGTACGTACTTCAAGTCACCAGCTAAAAAATTACCCACTCCAATTTTATTTTTGGCAGTTGGAGAAATTCCTCATCTGATTCTTCTACCTGCAAATATTATATGGTTTAGTAACAAACTAAGGGGACAGAACCAAGAAAGCTCACTTCTGAGCCCTGGGCCACTCCATTGGCAGTGAGAGAGGACATGACTTGATTCACTGCCCTTTAGAGCGCCCTTTGCTGTGAAGA